CCAAAAGTGATCACTGAATGTCTTGGACGTCGAGCCGCCGAGCTATTGAATGTCTTTCCCCAGAAAGACAGTATCTCATCACATTTCAGTCCGCAGCAACTCATTGATAATGTCAATATCAACTACATGAGTGACATGGTTGCTGAACTTGGACAATATGTTCATGCAATTGGGACGGATTCCTGCAATTCGATGGAACCCCGAAGTATCAAAGCGATTTACATTGAACCTACAAAGGGACAACGTACTGGGCACCAAGTGCTCAACCTCAATACTAAGAAGATGATTTCCCGACCCAAGGGCGTTGTACTACCCGTAACCGACCAAGTAATCCAGCGTGTTGAAGCTTGGGCTGCTACCAAAGGTGTTACTTCCATGATGGAGACATTTCAAGATGGCGATCAAATCGCAGGAGTGGATGACAGGGAACAAGGTTACTTAGAAGAAGCCTTTGATCAGGACTAGTATGAACCTGAAGATGAAGATGAACGTGATTTCAACCAATGTGGACAATTTGATGATATCGATGACTCCAAAAGAGAAGAGCTCTTGGCAGATGCAGACAATGATGTCGATGATATGCCAGAACTCATTGTCAGATTCCATGGAGATGACAACTATGAATCAGATGACGATTCGGGTGATGAAGGCAATTAAGAGGAAGAACCTATTGTGGCCGATTTGGATCAATTTGGATCACCATCAAGAAAATGTCAATAGAGGAACCAATGATATTGGGAGCCTCGTTACTGATTTGGAGGACCTACAAGAGCCGCCAGAAGAAGAGATTGTGTTTGAGTCTGAAGAGCCTCAAGTAGCAAAAGTCACTTAATCTGGGCAAACGTATGCGCAAGCTGCAATGTCTGGGCTGAACCTTTCCCAAGTTCCAAAGAGACCAAGAGAATGGCCTTCGAGCATGAGTGGCAGTTCTGCCAAAAAGAACAAGAATTGAGTTGCGACAAGATGCAAGCATCGAGAAAGAGAATTGAATCCGTTGAAGAACAAGTTGCAGTACTAAAGACAGTAAAGCTATCCTTGAAGCACAGCACAATCTATGTTTCCAACAGATTGGGAATGAGATGAAAGCTGATTATGAAGTGCACAACGCTATTATGATTGCTCGTTGCATGATGCAGATCAAGGCCAAGTTTGATACTGATGAAGGTCTTAACTTCATTCAACAGTATTACATCAATCAAGGACTGAAGACGTTTGGTGATGATGGAAAGGATGCTGTGGATAAGGAATTGAGACAAATGCCCCTGAGAGATTGTTTCACTCCCGAATTTGTTAAAGACATGACCGCGTCTGAGCGAAAGAAGGCCCAATCAGCGATGATGTTACTTGCAGAGAAGCAATTGGAAAAGACAATTAAAGGTCGCCTAGTATTCCGAGGCGATGGAACTCGTGAATGGTTATCGCGAGAGGACACTGCAAGTCCAACTGCTTTGCAGGAAGCAATCACCACTACTTGTGTTATTGATACACACGAAGGTAGAGATATAATGACAATGGACGTGCCTAATGCTTTCATTCAAACTTATATGCCTGAAGCTAAGGAAGGAGAAGATCGTATATACATGAAAATCACTGCCATGATGGTCCAGATATTGATTGACATGGCCCCAGAGTATCGCAAATACGTTGTATTAGAGAACGGAAAGCGAGTAATCTATGTGCGGGTACTACGTGCTATATATGGGATGTTGCAATCGAGCCTCCTATTCTATAATCAGTTTTGAAGTGATTTGGAAGCAAAGGGATTTGTTTTCAATCCGTATGACCCATGTGTTGCTAACAAAGTTGTTGATGAAAAACAGCAAACTATCAGGTTTCATGTTGAGGATCTTATGTCAAGTCACATGGATCCAAAAGTAAATGACAAATTTTCTAAGTGGTTGAACATGAGATATGGTTCAATCAAGGCATGCACAATCATCAGAGGAAAGATACACAGATACCTTGAAATGACTTTGGATCTCTCGGTGAAAGGAAATCTCAAGATCCGCATGGACGACTATGTCAAGAACATGTTGGAAGATTTTCCTATCAAGTTCAACAAGGATTCAAAGCAGGAAACACCTGCTGGTAACGATTTACTGGAAGCTGGTAAAGGAAGTTACTCAGTGCTGAGTACCGTCAGATCTTTCATACTACTTTTGCAAGGGGACTTTATGTCTCTAAGAGAGCTCGTTTGGATATCCATCCGACGGTAACTATTCTTGCCTTGAGGGTTCGAGATCCTACAGAGTCTGATTGGAAGAAGTGTGTTTGCATGATGCGATATTTGTTTTGTAGATTGTTGTATCACCTGACACTTCCGCAGAATCACTACGAGTCATGAAATGGATGATCGACGGATCATTTGCGGTGCATCCAGATTTCAAGAGCCACACTGGCGGCACTCTGACCTTTGGAGGAGGTGCAGCTCAAGTGATGTCAAAGAAGCAAAAGCTAAACAGCAGAAGCAGTACGGAAGCGGAACTGATTGCTGTTGACAATGTTGTCACAATGTTACTATGGACAAAGTTGTTCATGAAGTGGCAAGGGTATCCGATCAAGAAGAATATCTTGTATCAGGATAACAAAAGCGCGATTCTACTGGAAGAGAATGGTCGCAAGAGCGCGGGCAAAAGAAGCCGAGCTATCAATATTCATTATTTCTTTATCACAGATCAAGTTGAGAAAGGAAATGTTAAGATCGAATACTGTCCAACTGACAATATGATTGCGGATTTCATGACTAAGCCATTGCAAGGTGAGAAGTTTCGCAAGTTCAGGGATCCACAGGACTAGGTCAGACAAAATGAAAATACAAAACAAAAAATAAACAGTGAATGAGAGCATGTCCCATTGCTGCCAATGGTGATTGTCACAATGGCAGGAGTGTGTTGGGATATGACAAAATATGAGTTTTTACGTTCCAAAAAGAAACTATTCAAGTACAAAGTTTTTGACACGTACGATCGGACTTTGATTGTGATGTTGGGATTTGACGCAAGTATGCCGGACGCAAGTCTGTCGGACAATCTACATCCACACAAAAAGGGAATGACCCTATACAAGTGAGATATTGATGTTGTGTACAATGCAGTAGGGAATAATACAAGATGTCCCAAAGTACTGCATTCAACACAGAATTGTGGTAGAGGTCGAATCAAGTTCTGTGAAGAAGGGATTTTCCAAGGGAAATTTGTTGAACTTACTTTTGTGATTGAATCATCAATTCAAGCCAAATATTAATCAAATAGGAACAATTTCACTCAAAGTATACCTAGACACAGGAGAACTATTGTTGTGAAAGTGTTGTACAGTCGATTACAAATTTAGATTGCAGAGAGATTGTTCTGAGCGCTAAAGGCACCCACGATAGAGCACATTTTGCTTTATTCTAACAGAGTCAGCATCAAATTTTACCGCTCAACTGAATGAAAACACGATCGGAGACTAGTTGCTAAAACTCCAATACTTTTTCATACTTTCCAGCAATCATGCCACAAACAAGGCCTGATAACAATGGTACAAAACATCATTCAGAGACAAAACCAGCTGAAGAGCAATTATTGAACAAGGCTGCAGAGATCCAAACACTTGTTCTTCTCTTCTGTGTCCAACATTACACAATTGGGTCTTCTTCCACCATCCAATGGAATGAGAAAAATAGGGACATCTCTTGTTGGGCGTAAACTATATTCTTGAAATTTCAATACAAGTGGTTTCAGCTTCTTTGCTCTGTAGGTGAATTTTTGCTTGGAGATTATCCCTGTCCAAGCTGCTGTAATTTTGTAGTGAAAGACAGACCCACAGAGTTCAATATCTCCACCAATACCTCGGCCAGTGAAGATGTGTAGGTAATAAAAAAATGCTGGTGAATTTCATTGAGGGCTTTGAACTCATTTATGAGGTTGTTGCGTCTTGCTTGGATAATAGCACCATTGCCATTATGTGCCCCAGCTTTGTCAATTTCCATCAGATCCATTGTTCAATATCCGGTTACTTGCTCTGTGAACTCAGATGGCAGTCAATGCGAAGGTCACAGTGTAAATAACTTCTTTGAAGAAATGGGCAACTCTCATTGGAATGAGAGGCGAGTGGACAACTCCAACTTCCATTCATTCAAATACTCCAATGTTTTCATCACAATGATGAACTGGTACATGTGTACGGGTACGCGGGTTTTGTCCCGCGTTGAAGACATGCAAGCCCGCGTTAAATTGACGCAGAGTTGTGTCAGTTTGACACAATGCTTTTTTTTAAAAATCTCAAAACAATCTAAATGGACAGATTTTGGGCGTGCGTTTGACGTTGTGGTGCGTCCGAGATGATCAGAAACGAACTCTCAAACCTATTCTAGAAAAGCATATTAACGGTCCGTCTGCCACTCAGCCCTACAAAAAAAGGGGGGAGGCCAGAACTGTACCTTACTCGATATCAGTAGAATACAAATTTAACCCATATAAAACTTCTAATGTAGATCATTAGCTTTAATCCTGCTCAGGCCGCATTTCAAAAAAAATTGCTCGTGAGTTATAGCCTTCTAAGCTCCGGGGTGCTTTGGGGCGCTCACCGACAATCTTGGTAGCCAGCAGGAGCAGAGAACTCATCAAGGAATGCTCCAATAAAGTTACAAACCAAGCTATTGGTCATTCATAAGTCGTATGAGACCGTGGTATACTCACATGACCCCCAGAACGCTCAATAGTATCTGGCCAGAGGCTGGTTGTTGGCTTTTTTTGCATTTCAATTCCTATATCCATTGTTTCACACTTTTTCCCGTGCAGCCAATCCAAACACCAGACATGGAACCTGGTCTCTCTAAAACAAAATATCGTTTGCCTGTGAGATTGCCTGTCTCTTATGGGCACAATAGCCATAAATTAATAAGAGCATCACCAACCAATGATAGCACCGCAGGACCACCGCAGCACCACCGCATTCAACCTAGTAGAGCAGCTTCACCATTCATTCCACTTCATATAGTCATTCAACGACAATGTCTCTTAAATCCGACGGTAATGGATAGGCATTGTACCATTGAAACACTGTAGAAAGGACAAAGCAAGCAAGTAGTTAGATTGCAAATGCACAGTACATCTGCAAGGAGAACGAGGAGCAAAGTCTTCATCTGTCACACTCAACGTGCTCTCTTTGTCCATCAAATAGTGCAATAGTGTGAAGAGATACTTGAGAAACGCAAAATCATTCACTTGGGTAGCCTCATGGCAATTCTCATGATCGACAATCAGGTGAAATATTATGACGATCGATGATGATGAGTATATTTTTGATTTTTGTGTCACTCTGCCCCCCGGTCGGTCTCAATCTAAATATGGGATATTAAAGAATGTAAAACAGCTGTGAAGCTTCCTCGGCATCATCAACTATTATCCTGATATGTGGATTAGACGATCACATATTCTCGCTCCACTCAATGGTGTTAAATGGCACTGGGGGCAAGTCGAACAACAAGCCTTCAATAATATCAAACGTGTAATGGCAAAAGAAACTTTGCTACACTATCCTGACTTTAACAAACCTTTTGAAATCCACACTGACGCGTCCAAGTATGAGACTGGTGCTGTTATCACGCAAGATCCCAAACCAATTGCCTTCTACAGTCGCAAGTTGCGAGATGGCCAACACAATTACACAACCACTGAACGTGAGCTGTTAGCAACCAATTCTCTTGGGACACAAGATTAAAGTCTACACTGATCACAAAAATCTATCATTCACTCAATTCAATACTGAGCGCGTCCTGCGCTGGCGCATGGTTTTGGAAGAACTATCTACATTAAAGGCCCTGATAACATAGTGGCAGATGCGCTATCACGTCTTGATTTAATTGACAAGGAAGATGATGACTCTTATGGCACATAATGATGGCAAACAATCATCCAAACCTTCAATTCCTAAAACAAAAAATGCTTTAAAGGCTGATAATGTCACCTTAAACGACTACATGAATATTTGTCGGGACAAACTTCCAGACAATATATATCCTCTTTGCATGTCTCTTATTAGTGCGGAGCAACAGAAAGAATCTGAGCTCCAGGCTGCACTCAATAAACCAAATAGCCAATATACACACACTGAAAAATGATAGAAGTCATACCATGGGACACTTTTTGTATTGATCTGATTGGTCCACACAGAACTGGATGAAAAGGATCCTTATACTGGCATTTTATCAGCGGTTGCACTTGCGACAAGAGTGACCATTCACACTACATTGAATGCAACTCCCAGTCAATTAGTCTTTGGTCGATGCTAGACATGAATTCCACGCAGATTGGAATGCTATCAAACTAGAAAACAAAAGCACATAAATAAAAATAATCTTTCCCCATAATTATCAAGTCGGTGACCAAATTGTGATCAAGAATGATCCAAGCCGCAAATTTGGAACAAATGCTGATTCGGGCCCATTTTGTGTGACCAGCGTTAATGACAACGACACTTTGCAATTTCAACGCGGTCAAATCAGCGATACCATCAACATCTGGAATGTTTCGCCATATCAAGTCAGCTGATGCTGATTAACATTATTGGTACCAAATGTTAATGTTTGGTACTAAATGGGTTTTCCAGGTTTCCTTGGCAACAAGGCCAAATTGGTTGCAGGACTGATGTCCTAACCTCCAGAACAACAATATGGGTTTTTTGACTTTTTCCTATATACCAATAGATGCAAGATAAAGATCTTGTCTATTCTCACCTTGGAGCAAATATCCCGTTGCCAGGGACACAACGCAGTATATGCTACACTGGTCTGCCAATGGGGCACTAACAAACACTGCTTGCGTTTAGCGCACACGGACACCTGTGACGTTATTATAGAATAATAATCACAAGGGTCAACTGGACTAATACAAATGTATGTCTGGGCCGCGTATGTACAACTACCGTACACACAATGAAGCACGGTTTTAGATCTTCTAAGAGGACTGATCACCCTCGTAGAAGATGAGTACCTTCTGTAGTGAAGACTCAATGCAAATGCAAAGTAGCTGATGCTATTGCAGAGAATACATAATACTATCCTACAGTACTTCTGCATATGCTTCCTTGCCACCTCAGCACCACATCAGCTCCACAGCACACCCAGTTTCATTCCTAGAACAATCTCACAATATTTTAGAGTTACCTCTCATCACTCCTATTACATTCCATCTTCCTACATACGGCACTTCAGCACGGAATACGCTGTTGAAAACACACGGAATATGCTTTTGAAAACACTGGTTGGTCGTCCATGATAAAGGCATCATCAGCATCATCATTATCGTATATATCCAGGACATCACGATCCAATGCCATTGAGTAGTTTTGCCAATGATCTGGAGTCTTCCTTGGAATGAACTTGTCTATCCATTTGACTTGCCTGTTAGAAAATTGGACATCCATATTCCAAAAATACCAAAATGCAAAACCAACACGCATATCCGAGTCCTCAAAACAGGGCCACATCAGTTTTTTGCAAAAAAGCCAAGTTTGATCAAAAAAGGAATCCAACAATTTGGACCCTCAGATCGCCATCAACAACAACAACATTGACATGGAAGAGATCAAGCATCCACTGCAGTACAATCACGTTGTCCCGAACATCGATTCATCTCAGTGGGACCTCCAGACTCTTGCCTATTTATGCACAATCCACCATGGTTGTGGTGTGTCAGATATTCAACTCCGTAGCTGTAATGATAGCCTCAACGCTCTAGCTACCTCTGGAGTACACTGAGCTCAAATCTACGTCGGCTATGGATTGCCTACAATAGGAACAGGTGCCAGTGATGCTGGGCTTCTACCTGCGGATCAACAGTCTCACCACTCCCTATTAGATCTTATTCTACTGCTATTCTTGCCAGAAGTCGATCAACAATGATCTCCACAAGTGAGTTAATGTGCCTGCTATTGAACGATAGTAGAGCAATGAAGGGGTTTGACTAGTCACAGTGTTGCAAAAGGGAGATAATCAAAATTATAAGCTGTTGGTTGGCGATAGCCATTCATTCTCGTCCATCGAGTCAACTTGACACGGGGAATTCAATTCAGTCCCCTCGCAATGGCACTCTCTGAGTTTCATTGTGTTCCATTGAATACTTATTATCAAATCTTTGTCCAGGCAGTTTATTTGGATCCAAGATGATCCGGGGAACCTTAATAAGCCTCACACCTGACTCAGTCAGGAGGACTGCCCACCAGCAGCAACGGCTTCACAACACGCATGGTATGCAATCAAACTACATTTCTTCTTCAACAAGTCAGGTCTCTGTGTATTGTGGATGACAGACATGTTGTCTCCATAGGCGTAAGTAGGTCCCTCCATGGGAATTCCCATCATGTGTAGTTTGTATCTGAGTCCCCTCATTTGATCCATACCCTGTGTCAGTGCGCAAAACTCAGCCCCAAAGACGCTGGTCTCAATCCAAGCCTGTTTCTTTGAGTGGGCAATCACAAGGGCATTGTTGACATAGATCATGTATCCAGAGCGGCGGGTGATGTTGTCACCAGCTAAGTCACTGTCAGCATACAGGATGACATCAATGGACTTGCCTTGTGGCTCAGACGTGTTTGGAGGTATTGGCTCCGTTGCTCCAGGGTACATATCGGACCAGTTGCATGTCTTGAAGACAGAGTGATCGATCTGTGGGTAGGATGGGTCCATTACAATAGTAGCATTGTGATGAGCTTTCAGGTAGGCAAACATGTGGAAAATAGATTCGAGATGTCCTCTGCGGGGAAGAGCAAGGTGAGACGCAAGCATACTAACTTCAGTGATGATTTCAATTCTACCAAGTTCGACCATCAAGCGCAAAATACCAACAAGGGATTGGAAATACGATGCTTCCTCTCCTTCAAGTTCTTCTGTCATGTCAAGTTCAGGACAGTAGTTGTTTGGTAAGGGTGACCTGGCTCTGGATCCTTTCTTCAATCTGGTCCCATGGTGTTCCTCTAAGTAGTTTGACACAAGTCTCACATTCTCTTGGACATATTTGCTCGGACTCGAGGAGTATGCAATAACCCCGTTCTTCAGAGTGGTAGTACGGAACTTGGCCCCTAGGTAGATGTCGGGATCGCCAACAGAGTCTGGTTTTAGCATGAATGCCTTGTCGATTTTCTTGAGCGCTCCCATAGCATCATGGTGGATCATTAATATGTTGTCAACATATTCAAAGCCATAATCAGGTCTTGTCATTGGCATGTAATATACGTCAGGGTCGGCCAAGCAGGGTTTCCATCCCAGATTTTGCATATACTTCAAGAGGAATGTTCTGTCAGCGGCCCGTAATCCATATAATGCGCATACAACAATAGCTATGCGGCCTTCGTCCTTCCCAAATTCAGGGCCACAAACTGTCCAAATCTTTTCACTGATGAGAGGCGCTGTCAAGTAGGCATTCTAGATGTCAGCAGCTTTGACTTCCATTGCATTTAAAGCGGCAAATGTTAGGGCAATTTGGACAGATTCACAAGATACAACGCTCAAGTAAGTTGCGCTAGGGCATGATGCCTCGGTCATGTGGCCACCAGCAACCATTCGGCATTTTCGGCGGAGTTTTTCCATTTTGACATCAAAAACAATATGGCACTTGATTTTGGTGTGCCCAACTGGTGCTTCGTCTTCCTTGTTGAGCATCTTGAAAGCCAGACGAACATTGCTCATCTCCTTCCCAAGGGCCTGTTCCCACAAGTTGTTGCCATTGATTCGATCAAGTTCACGGGCTTCTTGGACTGTTTTGGGAATTCGGATGCCAAATTTGTGTGTTTGCTTGTGGTATTGGCTCTTGACTTTGGCAATGATTGCATTTGGTTTCTTCAAGATGTATGGAACCCACCACTTTTGCGATGGAATACTCAGCAACCTCACTGGGGAAAGATTCTTTGAGATCGGACAGTCGCTCCCAAGTAGTGGTACCGTCCTTCCATTGGACACAGAGCTGCCATCCCTTTGTGGTACGTTTCTGGACAAGTCGTCCATGGTATCGGAATCTGTCATTGCCAGGTTGGATTGCGGTTTTGTCTGTCTTATGGTCACTGATACCATTGGAAATCACACCATGGACCAATATTTGCAGTTTGTCCAGTCATAACAGTCTCCGGCACCTCCCTATCCAAGTTGTAGATCATGTTAATAGCTGTGTCGAGCTCTCGAGTGACAATCTGATCAATGAGCTTGCGAACTCTGGTTCGCTCATCAGGTTCTTGGTAATCATCGAGCTCGGCAAGGAGGAGGAAGCATTGCTTGTGGTTGCGGGCGTAATTGTAAACTTCCAGTTGCTTTTTGGTCCTGCGTAGGATAAAGCTAACCAGCGTCTCTCAATTTTGGCAGAGACATTGTTGGTGTATTGGGCCCCAAGCCGTGCGGATTTTAGGTCAAGAAATGCAGTTCTTCCGTCCTTTGTTTGGGCACAATGCTTGATGTCAGTCCAGTCAACAGTGTCTTTGAATAGCGCACTCAAAAGTTTCCAGAGGGTGGTATTATCAGTACGAAATGTAGCAACAAAGTCTCCTTGGGTGTTGACAATAGGAGCATGGGCAATGATTTTGTCCTCAATTGATGCATAATCGGTTGATGGATCCGGATCAGCTGGGATGGCAGTTGTGGCAGGAATAGTATAGCTCAAAGGGCAACCGTGGACTCCTTTGAAGTTTGTAAGGGATGCTTTAATGGTGCGGAACGTTTTGTTCCAGTCATTGCGGGTGATTTCGATATCGAGGGAGCTTGGGTCGGCCCATTGCTCTTCATGGTATCTGTAGATCTCAAGTTCGTCAGTGAGGACAGCAAAGCCAATGGTCAGAATAGCTAATAATAATAACTGAAACATTAATCGATTAAATGCTAGGTAGCGCATACAATTGCCGGTGGGATGCTCGGCTGTAAAGGTCAAGTACTGTGGAGCGGCGAGTCAACAACAAGTTTGAACCATGTGAGGCGTCTGAATAATCAGAAGTTGCTCTAGTCAGAACCAGCTGGTTCGGACTCTACCCGCAGCGTGGC